AAACCATAAATTATATTGGTACGACCGCCAAACACCGTTTGCTTGGGGCAACACAGGAAATTCTGTAGGCACGCGACATGGCTTACAAGTTTACAAGAACCCTAATGTGAAAAGTCGAATCGGCATTGTTAACCAAATAATCCTAATGATGTCATAAAATTTTATTAGTATGCATTTAAAGTGATCGTAGTATACTAGAATGTAGATCAGAATAAACTTGATGAGTTCCAGTTGTTGCTTGATCTTGTGGCCAACTTGTAGAAGTAGACGAAACGGGTTTGTTTGAAATAAGCCACTGCTAAAGAAAGCAGTGTTGATCTTGGAAATATTGCAAGTGTGGGTCACGTGTCGGATCTTTCTTCGTGATATTTTCCGAGAAAGCACTGATCCTCGTAATATTTCGAACGTTCGCACAGCTATTTGCTACAGCCTCTCAACAAAAATTATGTGCAGTCAAATTAGTTACAATAAAATCAGCATTATTGCAAATTTTCGAATCTTTATTTTAATCGATTAAGCTAATAAATAAAAATTTGAAAAACTTAACATTAATTGCCGCACCATTAACATTGATGACTGTGAAGTCGATTTGGCATTGACAATATTGTTCTTTGAATAACTTAAGTCGGTATTTGATGCCTATGTATCGACCACAGTATATCTATTTACTACGTATACAATAGCGACAAGAGGTCCGAATTCCTTTGTTCTCGGCGTGTCAATTTGTATGACCTTCAAAGTCGTAAAGTAGGGTGTTATTGGTTCTAACGCTTCTGGTAGTACAGCCCCGCGAAATTCAAATTCAGTTTTGTGAAAACTTTCGTCTTTAAAAAGGTGTTTATATAAAAACTACGATTTCTGAGCTAACTTAACTCTGTAAATAATGAAACCAAATATGCAAAAAAATGATTAACATAAAATTATTATTATTACACTTACTATTTACTGACTAGTCGCGACGTTGTTGCTGAGTGCTGGTAGTACAAATAGAGCGCATGCGTGAGCACTCAAGACACAACTTTTGGAGCTCTTGTCAACTTGTCGTTACTGTATACGTAGTAAATACAGGGTGCCGCATCCAAGTCTGGATATAGGGAATTAACATGGGAATTGGTTTTTATTTTATAATATCTCCCCAGATCACTTTAAAGCTATTATTGAGTGATGCCTTTGTGGAGGTCGAAGAGGGCTATCGGCCAGTATTTTTTTCAAATCGTTGCATCGCGCTCATTCACTGTAAAAAGGTTTTAAAAATCGTATTTTGAAATTCGCGCCCGATCCGAATTGTCGCGAAGTGTTCCGTCGTACTGTCGAAGTTCGGCGATCGCGTCTTTTTATTACCCATGCAAAATTCAAATGTCAAAGTGAAATTAGAAATTATTCTCATCAGAAATCAATGAACAAGTCAAACTGAATTATTTTATCCAGTGTGATGATTATTGTAGGACAAATTAAACGGAATAAATGCACAAATTGATCCATTCATTCGTCATAGTGCGCGACCCCGTCAAACGAGCCATCTCGAACTACAATCAGACCGTATCCAAAAAGCCCAAGATGAAGACTTCGAGCAGCTGGTCTTCCTCAAAACCCCATCAAAGCCCATCGGCAGCATTGTGACATTTTCTGGGAGCCGTCAAGCTAGGAATGTACTCCGGCTGCCTCACTCAGTAATCACTGAACGACTCAAATTGAATTATTTTACCCAATATGACGATTATTGTAGGTCAATTTAAACGGAATAAATGCACAAACTGCACAAAATATTTTATTAGGTTATGTTGCTGGTGCTGATCGAGTCTTTATTACTAAAATCTCATTAAAATGCCATGTTCTACTGCGATTAGATGAAAAAGCGAGGGCCCGCTTTTCTTATTGTGTGATGATAAGATTTACCATCACAACAGCTGGCGCTTTTAATGAACCATTTAGATAACTACAAATAACAAAACTTAACAATTATTGATGAATGAAGTAATGAAATATTGTACGAATGTGGAGAAGTATTGCACTATTTTCAAGAATTGCTCAAAAAGACTGCTCTCAGCAGCTGTACAGTAAGTAAGCCAATCTTCAAAACTCGTACGCGTGTTGATCAGCACCGTCCCGGATTTTTATTAGACAGATAATCTCCGAAAGTACTGGACCGATTATTGCGAAATTTTGTATTTATATTAGAAATATCATGTAGATGGTAAAACGCTAACCAAAATTTGTCTAATCATCCCCACCACTAATGCGATGACGTCACTTCAAAATTGTACATAGTAAATGGGTTTTAAATTGTATAAAATAACATAGTCCTACGCATGTAGTTTATGACTCCGAATTGAGTTTTTACCCGAAACGTCCAGATTTTTGGAAAATAAAATCAAAATTATGAAACAACATTTTGTAATTTAATTTTGAATCTGCAAAACCGAATGCTTTGAAATCTTGCAGATGGTTTACAATTATGGCAAGCATGATAAATTTTTAATCAAAATATATTTACTTATCCCCTCCAAAAAATTGATGACGTCTGCCCAAAAGTTTGTCGAATAAATCCTATCTAAAATGTACAAAATATTATGAGTCTGTAGTTGTGATTTATCATTCCATTCATATTTCTTGGATTTGCATATACAGGGTGACTCAAAAAAATTAATGAATGCTTGAATTTATTTTATTTATTTAATCAGGATCAACAAAACCGAATGCTTTGAAATCTTGGAGATATTTTAAAGTTATCATAGGCATGATAAATTTATAGCCAAAATGTATTTGTTCATCCCCCCTAAAAAATTGCTGACGTCACCTCAAAATTTTGCTGAATAAATCCTATCTAAAATGTACAAAATATTATGAGTCTGTAGTTGTGATTTATCATTCCATTCATATTTTTTGGATTTGCATGTACAGGTGACTCAAAAAATTAATGAATGCCTGAATTTATTTTATTGATTTAATCAGGAACTGCAAAACCGAATGCTTTGAAATCTTGGACATGTTTTAAAGTTATCATAGGCATGATAAAAATTATAGTCAAAATGTTTTTGCTCATGCCCCCCTAAAAAATTGATGACGTTATCTCAAAATTTTGCTGAATAAATCTTATCTTAGATGTGCAAAATATGATGAGTCTGTAGTTGTGATTTATCATTTTATTCATAATTTTTGGATTTGCATAGACAGGTGACTCAAAAAAATTAATGAAAGTATGAATTGATTTTATTGATTTAATCAGGAACTACAAAACCGAATGCTTTGAAATCTCGGAGATGTTTTAAATTTATCATAAGCATGGTATAGTTTTGATCAAAATGTATTTGCTCATCCCCCCCTACAAATTTGATGACGCCACCGCAAAATTTTGCTGAAAAAATGCTTAAATGTATAAAGAATGATGAGTCTATACTTGTGATTTATCACTGCATTAATATTTTTTAGATTTGCTTATACAGGGTGTCTGAACAAATTAATGACTGAGTCAATTAATTTTATTGATTAAATCAAAAATTACAAAAATGTAATACGAAAAAAGACATAATAGGCATGCAGTCGTCACGTTTCCGACAGCGAGGGAAGTACTGTCTAAACTCTTTAGACCAATTTTTTTTTATTGAAAGGCATTTCATAGGCAAAACGGAAAACTAAATCGTAATTATTAAAGTAGAGTAATATTTACTATAATTTGTAATCAATAATCAGCAAACAGTTTCATCTCTGGTCATGGATGCGTCCTTGCCGGGAGTGCCTGCAACATCAAAGTAGCCACTCTAGAATGTCACGTTTGAAGTCAAATAATACAAAACGCGATTTTCCAGCCAAAAAGAAGCATTGCAAAAAGCTAAGAAAAATGACGGAACCGCACAAAAAAATTTTTAATACTCAACATTGCTAGAGAACTTAATTTTTGTTCCCCCATTATGTTGTGCAAAAATGTTTTGGTTCTTTCGAAGTTCAAAATGATTCGTAATTAGTGGGTTAGTGGTGCGAATCGGGAGCGTTCATCAATCTTGGTCGTTCACTGTGTTGTAGGTATAGCAGAAAAAGTTGTTCCTTGTCTGATATGTTGAATCGCGTTAAGACTCTCTCTGTCTTGCATAAATGCAATTTCCACATGTCCTATGACTGCCATAAGCAACTGCAAGGACAAATCTGATATCCGACCGCACGGAACCGGGGCCTCGCTCTTTTTACCGAGTTTATATATATATCAGCTTTGATATGGACGTGACACACTCCTGGATTAGAATAAAAAGCGTACACATATTGTTACGAAATAAACCCATATACCTCCCTCGTACGACGGCTATGGGTTTTCTAGTATGTACGGCGATGAACTGTGGTGATGCATCATCGGTGACGGCGCGTTCGAATAGAGAAACCTGGAAGCGGAAATCGCGATGAACACTCCAGAACAACTTCAATCGCCAAATATCTAGAAGGGGACGCGTGGTGTTTAAATAGGAATCGGAGGGCAGGCTAGTCGAGTCTAGTCAGTGCGAGAAGTAGAGTCTAGTCTAGTTCCAGTCGGTTTATGAGTACGCGTTACGTCGGAATTATTCTGTACATAATCGCTGTATAGTTAGTGGTGTAAATTAATATCACTGAGAAATAAATTGTTGAGTTTTACCCATGCCGGTTTTAATTACCGATCATACTAACAATATATCAAAAATACATGATCAAATAATAAATGGAGTAATATATAATTAAAAATATAATAAAATAAATATTTGGGAGGGTACTGTTCCAATGACCCCATAGACAAGCCGGCCACAGCTTATGGTAACATCTTTTAAGAATTCCACGTACGAAGTCCTACCATTTAAGATGAGGATTTATGAAGATCATTTCATACTCTCAAATGACGGAAGGATAACATATTGACATTATAACACTTATTTACACATACACACCGCTACAATAAGCGAAACAGTGAATTTTTTTGTCTGTTGTCTTAATTATTTACATGTACTTTTTTAATACAGTTTTGTGTTTGATTTTATTTTCAGTAACAGTCGGGAGATGAGAAACAGGGCAGAGAAGATGCGGCGGGACAAACTGAATGCATTCATTGGAGAACTGGCAACATTAGTTCCAATGGTTGCAAGGAGTGCAAAACGGATGGATAAAACGAGCATTCTCAGATTGACAGCTACACATTTGCGCATTTATCAGAGTGAGTTCGTACTTGTCCATTTAAATTACAGGTTTTAATGTTTATATGCCTACTAGTAACCGTATTTATTAAAAGCACATGAAGGATGTCCGGAAAAAATAATAAATGTCACATGAGATAGAAATAAATTTTTAAATTATTATTTAAAATTTAAATTTTGAATTTTCGGTGGACACTTTGTTTTCACAGGCAATGTTCAGGACTACCAAGATCTTCTCCGGACGTCAAATCATTGCTGATTCAATCTAAGAAAAATCACTGGTACTTGATTTTAAAAAATGTGACATTCATTGCCTTCTGCCGATACTCTTCATTTTAAAAATCAAGACGTTATTTTAGAGTATGTTAGTCATCAGACGAATTTTCTAAGGAATGAATGAATGCTCCACAATAATATCTTATGAAACGTGTATTTTATACTATTTTATCTATGTCGCACCTTTTTCCCATTTTCAAATAAAAATTGGAATCTTTACAATCTTGGGGCATTTTGTCGTGATTGGTACGACAAATGTCAGATTGTAACATTTGAAGTTTAAATTTTCACAATAAGTAATAAACTATTATTAGAAAGTGTGAAGCTGAAGACAATCTTACACCCTCCGAAATTGCACAAAGTAGCACAACTACGACAAAATTCTCCAAAATTTTCAAAATTCTGATTTTTAAAGACTTATGTGGATCCAGTTAGGCAAAGTGGAGGTTGTAGAAATTTCAGATAGGAATCGAAGTCTGTCTACGCTACTTAAAATTCAATTGTTTTTATTAAAGGAGGGACATGTTTCGAGGACTTTTATTAAAAACAATTCCTATCCTAAATTTCTAATTTTAATTTTAAAATGATAAAAATTGGTCGAAGATTGTTTCGACATATCCATAAGGTAGAGTACATGAAATCCTGATGTTAAAATTAAAATAAAGATATATGAGTCGTTCTTGAATATTATATATTAATAAATCAATAAAATAATGAAACAATTTAATCACTTCCGCCATGTGTAGTAGCAGAGGTGCAACTGAACTGAAAAGCATTTAAAGTATACATGGCTAGGGATTTTCTATGTATGTATAATGGAGGTTATGCATAGGTCGTGTTGGTTTTCAAGTTTTCAGTGTTGAAAAATAACTCCAATGGACGGTGAAAAAAAAGTATAGAAAACAATTATAGCCGCGATTTTCATAGACTTTTCGGTTTACCGAAAATAATGTTGAGTGGTTGGAGGAATATATTTTAGGAGATAGGATCGAGATGAGATGTCGTGTACTAGGCTTTGAACCGATAATGCAACAATTTGTACGGTTTATAAGTGATCCAGGATTTCAACAGAGAAGTGGAAACTTTTACTTTAAACATCATGCGTTACAGTGACACTCCGTTTTGAGGCTTTTAAAACCACAGACTTCGTGGATTTGTGATATTTTTGGAATTCTAGTGTTAATCAAGGAACCAATGAATAATGTATTTCGGGTTGCCGCTAACCACAAATTACATTCGCCATTTAAGCCGAATCATCCTATATATGTGACTTTAGACAAAGATACATTGGTGATAATTCCCTAGCTGTGCTGTTTTAAATGATAAGAGTTATTAGTTTGGGCGTTAGCTTTTGGTAACGTGAATAAAAAGATACATGAATCCAACTATATCTACATTTTGTGAAACATTTTCTAAAGTCGATGCATGGAAATAGATATAGATTTTATTGTGATTATGAATACAATTATTGTATACTAACCTTGTGAAATGGGTGATTCCAGGTTCTCACAGTTGTTCAACTAGATGCTTCATCTCTATGTAAACCTTCATAATGCTCAGCAGTAATCACCCTCATTTCACTCAACTTAATAATCTACTATTGTCCAATACTGGTCTTTAATACAAGCGTAAGCTAGAAAAGTATTGCAATAAGGCAATTTTGATGAATGGCTAATTTCATGTTCTTTGGAACTTTTGCCTCTTGTGTAGTACGAAAATGTTATCTCTGCTATCTGTAATCTTTTGTCGTGAAAGTACAACTGAATGTACGCGGTACTGTAATGGAATCTGGAGACTATATACAGGGTTAGTCGCGAGAAAATTATTTCTGAAAATTATTTTTACGCAACCCAAAATACTAATACCCCCGTATCACTTGATACGCTCTGAATTTAAAATGAAATGCTTAATCCATGATTGCTTTGACTTTGGCAGTGTCCGTTTGACGTTAGTTAATTTTTACATTTTTCTTCATCGTTTACTCCGCTCTGCAATCCCATTGGATCGACGTACCGCTCTCAATCTGCGCCCTTCTGAAGCCGTAAGTACTCTAGCACTATTTTTTCCCACTAATGGGCATGTGTTAGTTCGTCACCTCTGCGTCAACTAGAGCCTCTTTGAAGTACAAATCTGTAGCCTCTGGGCCTCTTCGAGCACCCATTTACAAAAACACCGTAGCATCCCCTCAACATGCCAACATTTTCAACAGTTGTTGCAATAGCTAAATTATTTAATTGCTCTTTCAAGTTTACATTGTATCCTTTGAATAAAATATCGTAAAAGTACTTTTTAGAAATAATTCTCTCATAACTAATCCGTATCATTGCAAAAGATGAAGAGGTACTCGAAGCAAGCCCTAACAAATTTATTAGCAGCGCCAGCGTAGTCTATCTCCGAGTGGTTACGGTACGACCATGGACACTCGCATAACCTCCTTTCCGGAATTGTCAAAATGACACTCTGTCAAAAGTGCCAAAGTCAAAGCAATCATGGATTAAGCATTTCATTTTAAATGCAGCTAGTATCAAGTGGTACACGTTATAGGTATTTTGGGTTGCGTAAAAATAATTTTCAGAAATAATTTTCTCGTGACTAACCCTGTATACAGGGTGGCAGGGGTTTACGTTGCCAGATTTTAAGGAGTGGTATGACGTCATCTCAAAATTTTACCGAATAAATCGTATCTAAATTGTGCAAAATATGATGAGGGTGATTGTGTTTTATCATTGCATTAATATTTTTTAGATTTGCTTATGGATGTGCCTCAAAAAAATTAATGAATCAATCAATTTATTTTATTGATCAAATCAGGAACAACACACTCCATTTTCCCAAAAATTTGGTAATGCAATACTGCTGTTTTAGTATTACACTGAACCAATTCAAGTTGATGATATACGTGTCTTTGCAAAAAGTAAAAACTCATTTCGAACTACGCTTAGAACGCTGATTTACATTTACTTTATTTACATATGTTTATTTCAGCTTATTGGGGTTGTCATTAAAAAAATAAAATTCGCAAAATCAAATTTTATAATTTTTCGAAAATGCTGGATTTGTTTCATTGTACTTCATGGGTGAGAGAGGTTCTCTCGAAACAACTTTCGAACATTTTTTTTTCTTCTAATTTTGTAGAAGCAGTATATTTAATTATTCTTAAAACTGACTAACGATGGTAATATTTTAATGTGGTAAAATTAATACATATGTGTTGCGTGTGGTTCACCGGCGAAGAAATTTCTATCTATAGTTAGACTTTAGGGCAGTTTTTTAATTTTGCGGTATTTGCGGCGACAGAAAATTGGAAATTTGCTCATCTAAACTAACACACAGTTTTGATTTTTATTTTTTTAAATAGTAATATCACAATTATCAAAAAAATGTATACCTAGTAGTTATTATTCTTTGAGATACAAATCGCTCATAAATTTTATGACAACTGTAAAAATATTAAAATTAGTAAGAAAGAATATTAAAGATTTTTTTCATACGAAAGGCAGTTCCATGATACTATATATTTGTCTTGGTGTCATTATTATAATGTTCATATTAAACTGTTTGCAACAAAAATATTTCAAATAATATTTGTATGTCTAGAAATATGAAAATTACCTTAAACGTAATTACCAATACCAAGCTTACTGCTAGAATATAAAGTAGAAGGGTTAAATTTAGAATGTGAATACTCTTCTTTAATTTTTTTTTCAATATTAAATGATTTATTGTGAAGAATAATTTAGTGTTTTAGTTTAGTCTGGATGGCAATAATCTTTTGAGAAACAAAAACTTTCTAAATAGATCGGAAACGTTTAATGTTACTACAAGATGATACTGAATCGACTTTCCTCTTTAACAGAAATCGATTTTTTATTTTTGTCAACTCCTTGCCGCTAAAACAAATTGGATGTGTACATCATCTAAAACTACAACTTTGAGGGTTATTATGAAACTAGCCTTAGTAAAACAGACTAACATAATCTATTATACCTAATTTAAATTTCAGCATTACTGAATGGGAAGGACAAGCTACACATGGAATTGCCAAAGCATGTGGACCAGTATATATTAGAACAGTTGGTATGTGAACAGTTAGGTGGATTTCTTTTGATATTAACGCCAACAGGAAAGATAGTTTTTGTTTCTCACACGGTAGAACATCTCTTAGGACATTTACAGGTAAGTAAGTTGGTTTTCGACTTGTCATATAAAAAATTATATTGCATTTTCCAGACTGATTTAATGGGTCAATCAATTTATAATATTACTTCTCCAGAAGATCATGACCTTTTAAGGATGTACATTAGTACAGAAAGTGTTTTGAACTGCCAATGGAAGAAATGTTTCAGTATTCGATTAAAAAGAGCAGGGCCTCGAACAGAATCTGCGGTATATGAACCTGTACGAATAATGAGCGTACATCGATCGTCTAATAATAATGACTACAATCAAAACACATCGACTAGTAGAGATGCAGCGTCAAATACTTTAAATAATGATGTATGTAAACAAGATCATTTAAATGCATTAATCAACTTGGGCGTATCCCTGATTTAATTCTGAGGTTAATATTCAATAAATTTCAAAGCACTAAAACATTTCAGTAAGACTAATTAGTAGCTTCATTTTCCAGAAGTTACATTGTAATTTGGAATCATGTATTATCAAATTACTTTAAAACTCCCCCACCATAATTTGAAAATGAAATATTTCTGATTCTTTAACACAATAATGCGAACTTATATTTTTAATTAAGCTTTGATGATAGATTGACACATTATATTAAAAATGTTTGCAGTATCCTAATAGGTTTTTGGTTGAATCAGCGGACAAATCTGAATGAATGCCATTTAATTTACTTTTGTCACACAAAACTAACAAATGATAAAACTGGTTACATCCGAATTTATCCGTGTTACTGTTTGAATAACTTCTAGAATCTAGATCGTCACACAGTTTCATTTGTAGGGATATTTTTCTTTGTCTTCCCAGTAGTTACATTACCCTGTATATGTACAATGCTGTAGAGACTACATGATATTTGAGATTTTTTAATGAAATCATATTTTTTCCTTAATTTTTGAAATCATCAAAATAACCGTAGAGAAGGAATTAATTATATATTTTATATGTGGTGTGATGCCCTGTCCTGCAGTTTGTATCAATAAAATTTTTGATTCTTTTCGAAGTTATGTGATGTTGCAGTTCGTAAAACAGAAATATTAATATGTACTAGAAATAACTTATCAAATTTCGTATGCCATAGGCGAAAAAATACCGAAAACTTATACAAATAAGCGAATATGGTCAAATTGTAAAAAATGTATGAATTACTTGGCACTCCACCATTGCAACAATTATTTTATACACAGTACATTTATTTTGCAAAAGTTTAGATAAAACTTGTATGTAACTTTAAATGCCTTTTGTAAAGAAATTTAAATGCAAAAGGTTTACAGGATAAAAACTTTAAAATTCCACCACAAAGTTTTTGCAATTTAAGAAATATTCCTGAAAGATGCAGACACTGAAATATCCATACTTGTAACAATTTGAGTATAAAAGCAATTTGAAGATTCACAGTCAGAATTCATAACAAATTAGGTTAATTCAAAAGAAACTACACTTAAGCGAATATAAAAGCCAACTTGGAATGATAATTTTCTGATAATCTTTGTAGTTTCTTGAATTCTTATTACATATTTACACATACATACGTCTCCGTAACTAAACAACAAAGCAACATATTTTGGATAGTTTTAGCAAGTGTTCATTGTTAATTTGTGATCATTTAGTTTCCATAATTGGTTTAATTTAATAATTATAAACTATAAAACTAAAACCAATAATTTTAAAAGTCAAAAATAATTATACCTGTTTCTGATATTCATAAATATAGTGAACCAAGAGCTATAAGGTTATATGGCCATCATAAAATCATCCCATTGTGTCGAAGTTAAGTTGTTTACAATAGAAAAGGTTTTAGGGTCGTAAATAACGTGTCCACTGCAGCTCGACCGGTTCTTGTGGTTTCGTTCAGGGGCGGCTTTCACTAAATATGAAAATCCACCACTCCACTATTTCTTTACTACCTGCAGCCGCTGACTGTTCCGAAATAACCACTCGCTTTGAAAGCCGGCCCTGTTAAATATGAGCAAGAAATGTTTAGAAGATGATTTATTGCCAACCGGTAAGCTTAGTGCGAACCACACAAAGGGGGTATTTATTTGCGGTCAACTACTTTTATGATGGCCATATAACCTTATAGCTCTTGGTTCACTATACTACTAGTTGTGTGAGGTTTTATGGAAATGTTAAAATAAAAATTGCAAATCTAATGTTTCTAAATTTATTTGTGTATTTCTAGGTGCTGCTATTTTTCGTAAGAATTTTCCGTCCTGAACCACTGTCAGAAAGGCTCATTGAAGCTTCAAAGGATGAATATATGACGCGACACCTTATTGATGGACGCATCATTGGCTGCGACCAACGAATTTCTTTTGTAGCGGGTTACATGACAGAAGAAGTTTCAGGACTATCAGCCTTCAAGTTTATGCATCGAGAAGATGTTCGGTGGGTTATGATCGCCTTAAGACAGAGTAAGTTCATTTAATTATTTCTTGGTATTACAATATAATTTGTTGGGAAGGCGATAAAGTGTTCATTAACACCAAACAGGTTTTTAAGCCAAGTTGTGATTTTTAAGTGTAATTGGATGTATTGAAGGGAAACAGTTAACACGTTAGTTCATGTTATCAGTTTACATTGTAGCTGGAATATACTATCGCACGCAAAAGTATTGTTGATACCCAGCAGCAAGGAATATTAGACTTCTCCGCCTCCTCTCTGCGGGTTTTCGTAATCCCATGAACACTTCACTAGATTTCAGTGGACCAAAGTTTCCTGGCTTAATTACAGAAAATTTTTAAATCGAAACGAAAACTTCTTGAGTACTAGAGTGATTTTTTTTTTAACAAAATGAATTTGTACTTAATACGTTTATTACGGGTAGTTTTCAGATGGGAAGTAGTATTTTTGTAGATCAACCTAATCCAATAGGCACTCGAATGTAAACTCACGGACACGGATATTTATGATTTTTATTATTGTTAGAATCGGCACGCGTCTGTCGTTTAGGTTATTGTTATTATAATACAATTAAGTGTAGATATTATGCAGAAATGTCGGTTAGTCAATAATTATTATTATTAATTATTTATCGAATTGAGTATTTATATCTATGCACGTACTATATTTCGTTTCTTAAATACATACATCTTTAGACAGAAAAATCCGGACACTTGAATTTTTTGTGATTACCCGCAATTGATCGAACTTTTGTAAAAAATATCCCAAAAAGCAAAACATTAATGTATTCGCGAACAGAAAACATAACTTTATTCTAAAACATGTGGAAACAGAAAAAAATAAATAAGGTAACTGGACCCTATATGGCGTACCTAAGCTTTGAGATTTTTTTAAATTTTTGTAAGAACTTGAAATGGAAGAGTAATGATAATGGTGGGACTTGAAGAGGTTACATTTTTGTACATAATTTTCAAATTTCAAGCATTTTAAAAATTGTACGTCCCAACACAGTCCCCGGTTTAATTAAAGTGTGCCTTTAGGCCAAATTGAGTACATAGGTACCTAATATGTCCTGTTAAAAAAAAGAAAATCGGAAAAAAGTTTATTGACAAACAAATTGTTAATCTTCACAATAAGGAGAAGTAAAAATATCTTTATCGTTATCATAGTCTTATATCTTTTACAATATCTTCTTGGTACATCCCGCAAAACAATTTTATTGCTTCTTCCGTGAGCTTGCTTTTTTTTTTTGTTCATAGTAATTTAAACCAGTTTATTCACAAAAAAAATCAAACGAGAATTGCAGTATGTACCCAACAGGACAACAGCCCACCTAGGCTATTTTTTGATTTCCACATCACAAGCGGACATGTTATCAGTAATCCCAACTAAACAGCTGTTAAAAAAGTACAACTAATGCAGATCATTTAAAAACGGGAAAAAGGAGCTACACAATTATAGAAATATGAAATTGATAACTTATTTGAAATTAAAAATATCCAGAGAAAACTTACCGGCATAAAATAGAGCGCATACTGACTCGTCAAATGATCATCACAAATAATTACATTGTAAGTAAATGAAACGGTGTATTCCTTTACTGATTGCTCCTATATGGTATAAAAACGTCCCAGAATGTATCCCAGTCGCGATCTACGACATTTTGTTTGAAACATATGAGAAACAGCCAATAGGCCATATTGGGTACTAGGCCATTTTGAGTTCAGTTATCTTAAAAGAGTTATGACCAGTTGGCGGAAATTTATCTTACGGATGCAATTCCCCAGTTGAAGCAAGGTGTGTTTTACGGCGAGTAGCGGGGACGCTTTGATCTGGTCCACAAGGTCGTAGCCAGTGCGTCGCTAGGAGTGTTTACAGCTTGTTAAAAAACTACTTCTATATTACTATATTATTTCAAATAATAATACTCGATGCCCTCTTTAATTTTTTAAACACAGGACCACAGATTTGTGATCTTGAAATGTTATATTATGTTGATATAGTCCAAAAGAAAAATAAATTTATAATCAAACTATCGCCGCGACAGCACTGGATCTAGCGTATGAAACACAATTCCGCGCGTTGGTTATGACTTGAGCTGTGCGGTCGAAATTTATTTACCCCCACTATCGGCCCACAGTGCCGATCGCTACAGCCTTGCCTTTCTCGCTTCTCGCTTTTCAGTTGTGGATTATTTTTGATAATTCACACAAATAGTTTGATTGTCAGCGAGACGGACACCTGAACATCATTAAAATTATTATTACTCTTATTTCGTGAATATGGATTTTAAAATCATCAACTGACATGCCGTTAACATTATTTTTGGCGTAATTTTCTTCGCGATACATAACGTCGGTTGCAAGCCTCTGGCCTGCCGGAGTGGGGGTCAATTCGCAGCGTTTAAATTTCGACCGCACAGCTCTAGTTATGACACAAGATTAGCGTAAAATTACCTTACAAATATTCAAGTATCCGGGTGTTTTTGTGTGGCAGTGTATTTGTTAACAGGTATTTTGTAGTTTTTGGTTGTCAGTGTTTCCGACTATTCGTAAAGTAGCAAAACAAAATTGCAAAATACTAATCTTCGTGAAAAGTCAGTCTCTTGTAGTTACATTAACTAACTGCATATGATATGGGTGGAACTTACTATTTTTTAACATTCGACAAACAAAAGATTGACTTATGACAATTTCTCTCGCAATGCCCAGTGTGAGGATTTTCTAAAGTAGTCTCTAAAAGTTGAATCTCGTTGTTCATATGTGTATCAATTAAAACATTTCTCCGGCTACTCATAGGCCAATCGTTTCATAACTTCATTTGAAGTCTTTTGAAAATTGTATCTATTAGATGTCTACGTTCGGGATATCTGTGGGCGTACAAATTTGCCACCACTAGAGCATTTTTGACCCTCACCATGAATTAAGATCATTTACCGTTTTCTCGGTATTGGTAAGTGAATATCCTGGCATTTTTGCAACTGCTCAAAATTGACATTGATATGCACACTTGGATTCATGGTATTGTTACGTTAATAGGTAATTAAAATCGGCGTACGATTCTTATGGAGAGATTGCGAACGAGGTTGTCCTGGAGTCCACCACCGGGATCTTGTGGAGCACCGTTTTGTGAATATTCAGTAGCTTCTCCATCAAGTCGTTGACGTAAGCTGTGACCTTTGGTTTTTCACTCAGAGAGCCGAATAGGATGTCACAAGGTAGACGAAGTTCTGTTCCGAAAACTATGCGCGCCTGTCTAGCCCGTCGTGTCATAGACAGCTCATCGATAAGCCATTAGGAACTGTGGAAGGTGTCAATCCCAATCTTTCTAACATTCGGCCACCACCTTCGAAAGATGTTCTTCCATGGTACTAATGAACCGTTTGCTGTTCCATCTGACTGCGGGTGCAACAGCGCAGTCCCTGTCTTCTGTATCCCTTGCACTTCAGAAACCCTTTGGAATAGGTTTGACTCGGAAGTTTCTGGCTTGGTCCGAATACATTTCCATTAGGACCCCAAACCTGCTGATCCAATTGTAATCAGCATTTTTGCAACCTCGTGGTGGCTTCTTGGTTCGGTATGGCATAAGCTTCAGGCCATTTGCTGAAGTAATCACTGACGACCATTATGTATTTATTGCCGTCCTCGGTCACCGCAGACGACCGCTATGTCCATTGCAATTTTTTAGAAATGCGAACCGACGTTGTAGTAGTACATTTCTTGCACCAGCTCTCGACGTCTTCTCGACAACGAACCCAGTAAAATCTCTCCCTTACTTTAGAAGGCGTTTTGTTGATTCCAGAATGAGCACCGGAATCACCAACTGCATGGTGGTTCCATCCGGACTCTCGACAGGCAGGGAGGAGTCCTAGTGAGCCCATAACGCCAACCCTGCTGTTCTACTCCATCTTCTTTCCATTTGAGCAACCCTTTTTACACGTCCTCGTCATTTTCTAAGCTGGACTGTAGTATATTGTTTAGGCTCGGAATGGGACTATTTGGCGCGGCCGACTTGGCGCGAGCCATTTTGGCGCAGGGACACTTTGGCGCAAACCATCTTGGCGCAGGGACACTTTACCGCAAACCATCTTGGCGCGAGTACGTCGGTACATAATATAAAGAATATTTATTGTTCGTACTGTGGTTGGCACCCTGTTATTTATGCTAAGTGTAAGCAACCAAATACACAGTTTGATTCGCACAAATTCCAATAACTAAATGATCCACGAGCAAGAAATTCCACGTTTAGGAGTATGTTTATAATGGGGTGCAGGGCGCGAAGCGCCCGTGTGTCCATTAAAAAGTCGACATTACCCCTCCACGCGTTGGAGACTATAAAAATTAGGTTATGCTAACAACGGGTGCAATTTTTGTATATTTATATCTATTTTTCTTGGTGCGAGTTCATTCGCGCCAAGATGGCTTGCGCCAAAGTGTCCCGCGCCAAGTCGGCCGCGCCGAATTGTCCTAGACCGTGTTTAGGCTTTACCACTGCTGTCCTCCCAGAGTTGAACGGCGTTTCGCGCTGCTCGCGTAATATTTTTCGTATTGTCCAAATTTGTGTACGTTTTTCACTTCTTTGATTTCGTATTTTATTCTCGTTTGCTTTTACTTCCTTTTGGAATGTTTCAATTAGGTTGGTGATTTATGTCATCTTTCTGCTTGTCTATTTTTTCATTCATTGATTTTTTTTTCTGTTCTTTTTCTCATCTGTTGCGTCCATTCTTTTCCATTCCTGCATCCATTTTTTCGTCCATTTTTTCAAGCATAGTCGCGATCTGTTCCTCCATCGTCATTTTAGTTTGAATCCTCGCCTCGACAGGTATAAATTCGTCCAATCTGTCCAGAAATCCTGGTTAATGTCAAATTTCACTTCCGACACCAATATTCCCTTGATTGGTAACTAAAATCGGCGTTGGTAAAACTCAACAGTTTATTTCCCAGTAATACCAATTTATACAACTAAACTACACAGTGAAAATGTAAGAGCGAATAATTCTGATTGAAGTTAA